GTACTCTGTCCGTCTTCAGGATTATTCCGTTGTTACTCGAACAGAGAACAATGAAACCATGCATTCATAGTGCCACAGCACTGTATGGTACATTGTCTTCTCGATGGTATTTTATGGCTTCAGAGAATAATAATGTCATGTCCTCTTACAAGCGACAGGGCTGAGTACTACATTTTACTACTAAGTGGTACTTTGCAGCATTCAGGACTGTTAGGGTTAAAAGTTACCATTGCCAATTAAAAGCACTTTCATGACTGTGAGTGGACATTGTACATGTCCCAGTAACTTCCACAGAACTGGTTTAATTACATATTTGTACTTGTACATAATGTGTCCATTTGTAGTATAGCTCCCGTTTGTTTTAGACTTATTTGACAGCTGATGGCACAGAGTTTGCGTTTGTCATTAAAAGCAGATGTCTGAGGCTAGAAGTTTTTCTTTCTGCCAGAACGTCAACAAATTTCGAGGAGTCGACAATTTCTTGACAGATTTCTCAAGTCTGCACGTTGGCTTAAAACTTGCACATCCGTGTGTATGTGTGAGTACATGTACTGGGTACCAACAGATGGAAAGGTTTCCTTTGGATGTTTTTGTTGGGATGATTTGCGAGCCATTTTTGTGGAAGGTAAAAGCTTCGGAGGGATAGGAAAAAAAAGTGGAAACCGAGTAGTTTGCAGTGAAGCGTTTTTTTGGTGTCGCGGTTTTACATCACATAATGTCCAAAGTGACCCAGGTACATTTACATGAATTTGAATTGTTACAGTGTCTGACTGAGTGTGACGGGACTCCCATTACTTAACCCTAACTACCTAGGGTTTTAGCAAAATCATATTGAAATCGGAGGAGTTGGGACTGTTAGGGTTAAACAGTGCAGTGTAGATGCACATACATGTACATTGTATAATGTGTGTATTTGGACATGCAAGTTTTTGCTATTATCTGCCAGTACATGTACATGTGTCCATGTCCATGTAGAGGTCCAACCATATGTATGAAGCCAAACCACGGTGGTTATGTTTGTGTTGCGCATGCCCAATGTGTACCGGACTCGTGTCGCAGCTGTTCATCGGTATGTGAACAGTAAAAACTCTGTCAACCTGCGGTAGTCAAGCGGTTACAGCATAATGGTTTGTGACGCATGGAGTGTGGGTTCAAACCTGGTTCGAAATTGTGGGCGGGGAGGTTTTTTTTTTTAACGGAAAATAAAGCCCGAATGTTTTGGAGCCTAATTTCACACGTGAAGTTTTTATGGTTGGTTGGGCATCTAGATGTCATGCATTGTGCATGGTTGTGAACCGTGGTTTGGCTTCATACGTGTGACTGCATGTATAGCTTCCATGTCCATGTACACGTCCATGTGTTGACCGAGGAATGTTGATCACATGAACTGTATAACAAACTTATCTTTAGATCATTTTACCCAGTTTACACTTCCTTTTTCTTGTCCGTACTACTCTCTAGAATTTCTCGTCGACTTTCGTTCTGATTTTCCTCACTCTGTGACTCGTGATTACTACTGTAAGCCGGCCTCATATTCTACAGCTCTACATGTACAATGGACACCGTCACAAATTGTGCCCCAACCTCAGGGAATGACCCACATGTACATGTACGGTACCCTGCTACTTGTACATGCCTTTCTGATACAGTTTCGAGTGCTTGTACACAAAATCACGCCTCGGTGTGCATGCCGGTGGGTGGAGCAGAGCATTTCAAGTACGCTCCAAGGTTCAATTGGCCACCGATGCTGTACCCGGCAGGCCTGGTACTCAGCCAGCATCACATATTTGTCTGAAGCACTAGACGGTTATCCATCTGGCGCTCACAGTGTACTGCTATTACCTGTTAATTATCAGCTTTGTGCCGTAGGCACACAGATAAAAACTCCCCACCATCTGAGTAGTGATACATGTATGTGTACGTGTATAATTTATATACAGTTCAGCATACTATAATTATAAATTACAGCACACAGGCTCAGTTCATTTTATGAGATACTGTAGAGGTTTATTGCCACGGAACCTTTCCTGTTCCCTGCAGCTGTGCCGTTTGTCTGTATAATGGAGGCATGTACATGTACACATGTGTGCATGTATGTACATGTAATTGTTTCCTTATGGCACTTAAAACATGTACATGTACGGTACATGTACACTGTACGTGTATGTGTCAGTACATGTATTGCGCATGTTCAAGTCCCTGTTCAGTGTACATGTGTACATGTATGTATGTGTATATTTACTACATGTACATTACATGTATACATGTATACATTGTATGTTGTACACTGGGAGGGGGCGGAAGTGTGTCGTCCGAAAAGCGCCCCCCTGTGTTCAAACTCTTCTCATTCAATCTTGTGCAGCGATGGTGTAGACATCCTTTGTTTCTTACCGTGTAGCTGCGTTAAGATGGACCACGATGAGTCTTCAAAACCACAAACAGCCGGTACTGCGGTAGTATTTTTGATAAGTCACGTTGACTCCAAGTGTTCAAACCTGTAGTATAATACATGAGTACATGTGTGTTTAATAAGGGACTTTCACTTGTATCAGAAAATGTAATTTTCGAGATGAAAATTGTCTTTAGGATAAATATTTTTTGCTTCATTTTGTTTACCTGCAATTCCTATTTGACTGTGCCGTGCCAACTTTGTTGCATTTGTACTTGCTGGTATCTGCTTCGAGTGGGAACAAACGAGGGCGTGTATTTAAATGAAAATGACCGTCCCTTGGTGGGAACTCACCTCGTAGGCTTACAGGTTTGTGCGCGTTTGGCGCAGGCACGCTGATTACGCACAGCAAATTTATGCTGGAATGGTATGGTCTCTGTGTGCGTTGAACACATGCAGGAACCCCCTGGTTGGAAAACTTCTCACTAGTCTGTCTGTCTTTTGCCGGTGAGGGTGCACTTCGACTCGGGCGGAAAGGTCACGTTTTGTGCTTCTGAGCACAGTTGTTTACATGAGTACATGGTTCTGCCTTTACATGTACCGTACATGTACAGTAGCTCTGTGATAGAATCAGATGTCACGAGGGCTACTTTTGAGTCGCAAGGCTCGAAAAGAATCTTGAACACGGTACACTACCTGCAATTCAGTCGACATCTGCCGCCCACGTAATTTCCGTTTTAATCAGGATGTTTACCAAACTGAGTGATACATGTACATGAAAGAGAGCTCAGTTTGCTCTTTCCAATACAAACTACAACTTGAAAACTCGCTTCTGCGATGTGTGACTCACGTCCACTGAGCGGATCTTACTTGTCCCACATGTATGTATTTTTCCCCACCAGATTTTGGTAGATGACACCCGGCCCGCCATGTCGGTCTACAGCGACGAGAACATCCTCTCCTCGGAGGGCAGCTTCTGGGAGATCGGCCAGTTCAAACGGACGGTCAAGCGGGTGGACGACGGCCACCGGCTGTGCAACGAACTGATGGGGCTGATCCAGGAGCGGAGCGAGATTGAGCGCAAGTACTCCAAGTCGCTCAGGCACTGGTCCAAGCGGTGGAACGAGCTCATCGATAAAGGTGAGGGGGGTAGGGAGGGGAGGAGTCAGTGAAGAAATGGGTGGGGGGCCTAGACAAGATGTTTTATTCCCTTCAGTCTCCCTGTAAACCTAGTCTTCTCAGGTCCTTCAAAATCAATGAAGTGTTTTGAAGAAGTAAGCATTATGATACATCTTAAGAAATGGAATGCAGCCGTTGTTACATGATGTACCTCAGGTGCTGGACAGAACAGGGAGTTTGACATGTATTCCTCACTTGCTTCAATTCCCTACGGTCTCCCTTTCACCTTGTGGCCCCCTGTCCTTCAAAATCAATCCGGAGTTGTAAAGAATTTTGCAGAATCCAGCCACTATTGTTTTCCCCTGTGCCATTCTTGGACTCTTCTTTCTGATCCAGTCCTATGGTAGGATTTCTGTTAAATTCTTCTGATCTTTAAGAGTATTCATCAAGAGATATTTTTTCTACTTTTAAGAAAGTTCCACATTTTTGACATTGTTCAGTTCAGCAGGGTTATTTCAGGACAAGTATGGTACACCGTTATCACAGTTTCAATTACCACCCCCCCAGAAAACCCTCAAAACTCTTGTTTTCTGAAGAGAGCCAGTTAAGGTGTTCATCATTCGCATGAATTCCCTGTATCTGTCGTCTGTGCCCCCAGGTCCAGAATACGGCACCATCAAGTCGGCCTGGAAGTCCACTCTGACTGAGGCAGACAGCAAGAGCGAGATCCACTCGGAGATGGCCAAGAAGCTGATGCAGGAAGTGCAGGGTGCCGTCAAGACCTGGCAGAAGGAAAACTACCACAAGAAGATGATGAATGGCTTCAAGGAGACCACCGAAGCCAGCGATGGCTTCGCTAAGGTCAGCAACAATTCTCCTGCCCATCAGTGATGTTGTACAGTACATAACCACAAGTTCTCCCCCTCCCCCCCAAAAAGTTTCAACGAGTCCGAGTTTCCCCCAGAAACTCACATTTGAGCGTGAGTAACAAAACTGCAGGTGAGTGTGATAATGAGTGTGAGTAGTACGGCATTGCTGCCAATTAAGGGTTTGCAGATGATGTAGTGCCTCCTGCATCCGCCACCTTGGTGGACTGAGTTGATTGGAGAGTTGCACTCTTCTGCTCCTCTGCTCGGTTTCAAAGGATTGTTCTGTGTTTAGCCCAGTGTGGCTATGTCTGAATCAGCAGGCTGGGGCTGAGAGTAATGCATCCCTGTATAGGATGTGGCTACAGCCACTAGGTCGTGGCTTCCATAGCCATGTGTGTTGTTGTGAGCCACAGATTTCAGACACGGGCGCCACTCTGAGACCGTGCAGTGAGGGAAGTTAAATTGCCAAGTTTATGATAACAACACATAAAGATACCTCTTAGAAGTAGTTCCTAGAATTGTGCCTTTCCTGATCAGATCAAAGTAATTTTCCAAGGAATGCAGGCATGCTTCATATGCCCACTTTTGTCTCACTCGTCAAATCTCTAGGCTCAGAAACCATGGGCCAAGACACTGAAGGCGGTCAACTCCAAGAAGGTAGCCTACCACACAGCCTGCAAGGCGGAGAAACAGGCCGTGAGTCAGGAAGCAACGGCCAGCAATGACACGTCGCTCTCGCCAGACCAGGTTGGTAACCTGAGTGAAATTCAGATTCGGTACTCGCATTGATCCGGGTCATTGCTTGACCAACTTTGTATTGATTTGGATTGATTGATCCAGTACTGTACTGGGTCAAATTCAGATCAATGTGGCCATTTGCGTTCATTGATTTTGTTCATTACCATGCTAACTTCAGATTGATGTAGCCATTTTGATCCATGTCGGTACCGGATCCACTTCTCATTGATTCAGATTGATTGATCTTGTTCAGTACAAGATTCTCTTCCAGACTGCCCTATCTGTTTAATCTCTTTGATCTTGATTTGTACCAGGGTCAAGTTTAGATTGCCCCATTTTTGCTCATTGATCCAGTTGTGGTACCACTGATGAAATTCAGTTAACCTGAGGTATTTTCTCTCTTGGATCTTATTTTTTACATGATTTTTTAAAAATTCTGATGCAGATTACCTGAACCATTTAGTCTCATCAATTTACTTCAACACCTTCATTTTGTTTTATGTGATCTAAGGTTAAGAAGGCGAAAGAGAAAGTGGAGCGAGCCCAGCAGGAGAAGGAGAAGTTGGAGACGAGGTATCGAGCATCCCTGGACGACTTGAAGGCGCTCAATCCACGCTACATGGAGGATATGGGTATTCAGTTTGACAAAACGCAGGTACAAATTGAAGATTGCTGCTAACCCAAGTTTTGTGCTAAGAAAAACTCAGATGGGAACCGGTTGCAAGCACTACAGTTCGTGTGATATTTTGGCCGGTAACCTGATGCTAAGCAAGTATTTTCCATGCTTAGCAAATTTCTGAACTGAGGTCGCAGCCCAAATTACTTGGCAGTGGCTTTCAAATTACACAGGAGACTTATGGCTGTGGCTGTGACCAGTTTCCATAGAGTTGTGTGTAATTTCAAGCCGCAGCCCAGTGATTAGGACGTGGCCTTAGCGTAGCGGCCCCATAGATCTTTGTCATGATACTGCCATTTTGTTTTGCCCCTGTATACCAAGTGTCAAAAAGTAATACAAGTTTGCATGTTGATAAAAGCGAACAGACTATTTTTTTCTTCTAGCCTCATTTGCTTACATTGCTTTCAGTGGTAAACAAACACGATGGCTGCCCCATGATAAAGCTCTGTGGTATTGGCCCCAGCGCCTAAGATTGGCGTAAAATAGTGTCCAAATTCTTGCGTGCTATTTGATCGCACAAAGGGTGGTCATGAGAGGCGCTTTACGCTGTTCATTTCTCAGTTTCATTTTTACAGATATGAGGAGCACAAATTTTGATCACTATTATTTTTTTTTTGAAGGCTTTTTTTCCCCTTTTCAACACACTTCTGAGCACCTTTCCCTAAGCGCGGCGTTGTTTGGTTTGGATTCGTCTGGCAGGTATTTGAAAAGAAGAGGATCGAATTCTTCAAGCAGACATTGAAGGACATGCACAAGGTCCTGGACCTGTCCAACTGTCCCAGGTAAAGGTCCGAGGGGTCAGAGGTACATGTACACTCCACACTCCTGACCAATAGAGGACGGTCTGCAAATAAGGCGGAATGTACACCGATGCCAAAATTAAATGTTGCAAATTATTTCCGATTGTGGCGATGTGGTCGTAGAGGATAATGGGATTATCCGGAGGTGGGGATTTTGTTTTGTTCTTTCAGTTTTGCACAGATTTACACGGACTTCAGCAAGACAATAGAAAATGCCGATGCTGAGAAGGACCTGAAGTGGTGGAAAGCCAACCATGGCACGGGTATGGCCATGAACTGGCCAGACTTCGAGGTACAGTGCATCCAGCCTCCCCTACTCCCAGCCCCACTCCCTGCCCCACCCCCCGCCCCCCTCCCC